CTCCGTCTCAAGAAAAAGAAAAAGAAAAAGGGAAAAAAGAGGAAAAAACAAACTTCTTACTATAATGGTATATTATTTTTATTCAATGCATACAGCCATTTGCATTTTTTATACATTGCATACATTCTCCCATAGCATATCGGTTTGATCAAAGAATATAGATTTATATGCTCAATTAAGTATCTCATATAAAGAACTAATTTGGAACTCAAATTTTAGGTAAGCAAATGCATGATAAGTTTATTCTGGGAAAAAAAGCTAAAATATCTGTGGGTTTATCTGGCTTTTTGAAAACCTTCTCATATAAAATTATTATTTTATTAATCAAATGTATAAAACATAGAACTACATTTTAATCTAATTACTTAAATATAAACAATTTAAAATTTATAAAACAAGGTAATTAAGTTTGACTATTAAAAAGTTTTTGTTAAGCCTACTAAATTAAATATTAAAACTCAACATATTTTTACTTAAAGTTTTATGCAAAATAATAAATGTATAATATTTTGAATATCAGTTTATGAAAAAATAGCAAACATTTAAAAATAACAAATGTTATAATGTTTTATATGAAATGTTTATAAATTCATGGTATAATAAAGTAAAATATTTTTCTTAACATAAATATATCATCATATTCTGGAATTACATTTTTTTCGAACTGGAAAATGATTTCTATAAAGATTACAATACCAAATAATGGAAAAGGTGTAACGCCTGTTCTGTAAGTTTCCTCTAGTTAAGAACGCAGTAGCAATGCCCGCTAAGAGTGGTTCACGAAGTAGGAGGTTATGTTCGTTGATGACAGGGAGCAAGTGATTGGTTCTGAGACACTGGGACGTCACCAGGCCAGCAGGGCAGAGGGTACCAGAGGCCTTGCTTAGCCATGTATTTAACATCCCAGAGAAGCAAAAAACAACACCTGCCCCACGTATGCAGCAATGTCAAATCTGCTGCAAGGTAAATTATTCCATGAGAGTCTATATTAATAAAATATAACAAGAGCCTTAGAAACATAGCTATGATATAGTCATGCCATATTTAGCCATTTAAAAAATTATCCTAAATATGTATTGCATCAGGATTTATTTGAGCTCTGCTGGTGTTGATGCAGATATAGATTCTTCTGGGGCTGCAACACAAAGTAAGGAAATGAGTAGACAAAGATGACATTTTCTATACTTTAAAAAAATTAACTTTAAATATAAGAAAACATATTTATGTATGTATTAATAAGGATTATTTCTGAAGTCTACATAAAAATTGGGCTTACAATCCTGTCATAAATTGGAAACACAAGACTCCAACTTTTGTACTGGTAGACTAGAAGAGAGTGCTCCATTCCAACTCATGAATTGAACTGGGGCACTCTCTTCTAGTGTACCAATGCAAAAGACTCCAACTTTTGCATTGTAGACTAGAAGAGACTGTCTCAGTTCAATTAATGAGTTTTGCCTGTGCATGGTGAAAACTTTCTGCTGACATAAACACACTGAAAAGAATTATTAAATAAATAGTATGAGCACAGCCTGGATGAGGCCAGTAGGCAGGAGGGGCAGCTCAGGCTGTCAGTCAGCCTCTGCACGCACGTGTCCCTGCTCCCCAAGCCTTTTGCAATCTTCATTAATGTTGACCCTCTCAAAGTACAATAAATGTACCAGTTTCCTAATGCCCAGCTTTAGGGCATGTCAAAACATCTAGGACAGCTGAAAAAAAATTATACTAAGGAAATAATAATAATCTTGTGTCTCATGGAGGGGAAGAAGCATTAAAAAGAAGCCTTAGGCTGGGCATGGTGGCTCACACCTATAATCCCAACACTAGGGGAGGCTGAGGTGAGTGAATCGCTTGCTCAGGCATTCAAGACCAGCCAGGGCAACGTGGTGAAACTCTGTCTCTACAAAAAATACAAAAATTGGCTGGGCGTAGTGGCTCATGCCCTTAATCCCAGCACTTTAGGAGGCTGAGGAGGGCAGATCATGAGGTCAGGAGATTGAGACCATCCTGGCCAACATGGTAAAACCGCATCTCTACTAAAAATACAAAAATTAGCTGGGTGTGGTGACGCGTGCCTGTGATCCCAGCTACTCGGGAGGCTGAGGCAGGAGAATCGCTGGAACCAGGGAGTCAGATGTTGCAGTGAGCCAAGATTGCGCCACTGCATTCCTGCCTGGCAAAAGCGTGAGACTCCATCTCAAAAAAAGAAAAAAAAAATAGCCAAGCATGGTGGCATGCACCTGTAGTCCCAGTTACTGGGGAGGCTGAGGCAGAAGGATTGCTTGAGCCCAGGAGGTCAAGGCTGCAGTGAGCCATGATTGTACCACTGCACTCCAGGCCTGGCAACAGAGCAAGATCCTGCCTCAAAAAAATAAAATAAGAAGCCTTGACAAGATTAGTCTCCAGAAAGTTATAGCAACACACTCTAAGTGGAGAGCTGTCTAGCTGGAAGGAAAAATGCACTTTATAAATTGCCTATTGCTTATAAAGTTAAAACCGTGATGAACAGCAAGGGTCATAGGAAAAAAGAAGGGGAAATAGAAAAAAAGAAGAGGAAATGAAATACAGGAAGAAAAAAGGTGGTCAGACTGACAGTGGAGAGAATGTGATTGTCAAAAGCTCTAGCACTAGCCTTGGCATCAGAGATACTGGGAGGTGGGAGCAGGTGTTTCATAGTGACACCTGCCTCAGCTATCCGGAAACTGCGTAGAGCAGATCATCCTCTCCACATGACAATTCTTCTAGATATTAGGGGCTTTGCAGCTTATTTAGGCTTTCATTAATATGAAAGGTTAAAAGGTTTCTTCAAAATTAAACAGATCTTACTGATAATATCAATATAAAGATTACATAACACCTGCAATATAAAGTTTATATGTTTATATGAATGCCAAATGATAGTCCCTTGATAAGACCATATATAATATTTTGTCAAAGGTGAAGTAAATTCTATCTTCTTAAGACAATGCAGAATAATAAAACCCTTATCATAGCCTATGAAGGTGATCTTCTGTACCTGCTGCATTTGTATATTTAAATTGAGGTCCTAAAGAAGAATAATCTAAGCCCAAGTTTAACAGAAGGTAAGATGGAAAAGATAAAAAATGTAAGAGTAGTATTTTTATTATAAACAAAATTGGCAAATCTTTAGCAAGACTAAGAGAAAAATAAAAAAGACTGAAAAAAATAAGAAAAGAAAGAGAAGATATTGCAACAAATACTGCAAAACACAAAGGATCATAAAGAATGGCTGTGAACAATTCTACACCAACGGATACATTCCTAGAATCATACAACCCCCAAAGCTGAGCCACGAAGAAACAGGAAATCTGAACAGTCTAAGAATGAGTATGGAGATTGAATCAGTTAAAAAAAACCTCTCCTATCACAGAAAAGCCCAGGACATAATGGCTTCACTAATGAATTCTACCAAACATGTAAAGGAAGAACTCATGCTAATCCTTCTCAAGCTCTTCCAAAAAATTGAAAAGGAAGGAACACTTCCAAACTCATTTTATGAGGCTTGCATTATCCTGATACCAAAGTCAGACAAGGACACTATAAGAAAGAAAGAAAAGAAAATTACAGGCCAATTTCCCTGATAAACATAGAATCAAAAATCTGCAACAAAATACTGGCAAACCAAATTCAACAGCACATTAAAAAGATCATAAACCATGATCATGTGGAATTTATCCCTCGTAGGCAACGATGGATATGCAAATCATTGAATGTGCAAATGCAAGTCATTAAATGTGATATTCCACATTAATAGAACGAAGGACAAATAGATAGAGCCTAGAAATAAACTATGCATTAACAGTCAATTAATTTTCAACAAAGGATCATCCTAATAGATGCAGGAAAGGTGCTTGACAAAGTTCAACATCCTTTTATGATAAAAACTCTCAACAAATTAGGTATGGAGGAAATGTACCTCAACACAATAAAGGCCATACATGAGAAGCCCACATCTAATATGATATTTAACAGCGAAAGCTGAAAGTTTTTTTCTAAGATCAGGAGAAATACAAGGGTGCTCACTATCAACACTTCTATTTGACTTAGTATCTGAAGTCCTAGCCAGAGCAATTAGACATGAAAAAGAAATAGAAATCATTCAGATCATAAAGAGACAAGTGAAATCTTCTGTTTGGTGACAATGTGGTCTTATATATAGAAATCTCTAAAGACTCCACCAAAAAACTGTGAAACCTGATAATCAAATCCTGTAAAGTTGCAGGATACAAAATCAACAGACAAAAATTGGTAGCATTCTATACACTAACAACAAATGATCTGAAAAATAAAGTAAGGAATAATCCTGTTCTCAATAGCATTTAAAAAAAAATACTTAGGAGTAAATTATTTAACCAAAGAGGTGAAAGACCTGTACACAGAAAACTATAAAACATGGATGAAATAAATTGAAGAAGACACAAATAAATGAAAACATAGCCTACATACATGGATCAGAAGAATTAATATTGTCAAAATGTCCATGCTATCCAAAACAACCTACAGGTTCAATGCAATCCCCATCAAAATTTCAGTGACATTTTTCACAGAAATAGAAAATAAACCCTAGGATTTGTAGGGAACCACAAAAGGCCCTGAATAGCCAAACCAATCTTGAGCAAACAGAAAATAAACAGATATACAGAATCACACTATCTGATTTCAAAATATATTACAAAGCTAGAGTCAGCAAAACATCATGGCACTGGCATAAAAACAGAAGTAATGATCAATGGATAGAGTCCAGAAATAAACCCACACATTAACAGTCAATCAATTTGCAACAAAGGTGCCAAGAACACACAATGAGAGAAAGGACAGTTTCTTCAGTAAATGATGCTGGGTAAACTGAATATTCACAAGCAGAAGAATAAAATTGGATCTTCATCTCATTTAATGTACTAAAATCAACTCAAAGTAGATAAAGATGTAAACAAAGACCTGAAACTGTAACACTGTATAGGTTGAGTATCCTTTATTTGAAATGCTTGGAATCAGAAGTGCTTGGGATTTCACATTTTTAAATTTTGAAATATTTGCACATCTGAAGTGTTCCAGTGAGCATTTTCTTTGATTTCAGATTTTCAGATTTGGGATTCTCAACCTATAAAAAAATATAGGGAAAAAGCTCCCCAGCATTGGTCTGGACAATGATTTTTTGGATAGAATACCAAAAGCCCAGGCAACGAAGGGACTACATTAAAAAGCTTCTGCAAGCAAAAGAAACAAACAAAAAAAGAAAAGACAAGTAACAGAGCAGGAAAAAATATTTGAAAACCATACATCTAATAATGGGTTAATATCCAAAATATATAAGGAACTCCACTCCGTAGCAAAAAAAAAAAAAAAAAAAAAAAAAAAAAAAAAAAAAAAAAAAAAAAA